TGCGCCGTAGTGAACTATTTGATCCTCCTGGAAATTGGGGCACGGAGCCGAATAGCGGATCGGGCTGGCCGCACCGAGATGCAACACAGCAAGTGCAGACGCCAGGCCGCACCGGGCCGTCGGCGAGGTGGGAGCCGAAGCGGATCGAGCCGCCCATGATCGACATGGAATGGAGGCGGGAGGACGAGGGCAACAGAGCCAACGACACAACCACGAACCTCGCCATCGCTTGGACGTCCATTCCCTGTGCTTGTTCCGGTTTCGTGCGTGGATGTTGACGCCAAATGATCAAGGATGTTCCTTGATGGTCCTCGCCGAAGGCAAAATGCACACGTCCGAGCGATGCCAAGGAACTTCTGGAGGTGCGCGCGGGTTTCTTGGATCGGCGCTGGGCCCCCTCTGGCGCGTTGGGGGTGCCAGGGGGGGGAGGAGGAGGAGGAGGAGGAGGAGGAGGAGGAGGAGGAGGAGGAGGAGGAGGAGGAGGAGGAGGAGAGAGAGGAGGAGGGGAGGAGGAGGATGAGGAAGGAGGAGGGGAGGAGGAGGAGGAGGAGGAGGAGGAGGAGGAGGAGGAGGAGGAGGAGGAGGAGGAGGAGGAGGAAGGGGGGGCGCCCGTTGGCGCCTCGCGGGCACCCCTCTCCCATGGCTGTGTCCGCCGAGTTGGGCGCCTGCGGGCGCCCGCCTGGCCTCCGCTGGCGGTTGCACCACACTGCCTACCTACCAGACCACCCCAACCCAACCCGAAGACCCGAATTTCGGGTTGGGGGGGGTAAGGGTTCCACACGTGTTTTTTCGATGTTTCCCGGACCCCCCCCCACTGGAAATCGAGGGTAAATCTGAGCCTTCGGGTTGGGTTGGTGTGGTTTGGTGGGTGGTGACACACGGAGGGTGCCCGGGGTTCACACGGAGAGATACACGCAAACGACAGGATCCCCCATATTTTCCCATGTTTTCTGGGTCTTCGTCTTCCCCCCCACTGCCCATGCGATCCCATAATGTTCGGGGGACCCGACGATGAAGTGTGCCCGTGCGTGTTTTTTGCTCCCTCCTACACACAGCTTGCACCACACAGGCTTCCTGGTGCACAACTTGCGCCACATAGCCTGCGCCACAGCTTGACCTTTTCTAGACTGCACCGCACAGCCCGCACCGCGCACATTGCCTTACATAGTTTTCTTCACACGGATCACACCGCATTTTTTGCAGCGCAGACATTGCACCACGCATGCTGGACGAAGGGTATTGCGCGTCCAGAGTGAAACAACGCACTGTTTGGGGCCAGCGCTGGCAAACATCCACGCAGAATCCCGCCAATACATGCTGTGTATGTCTTTGCGTGTTCTTCGTGGGAACCGGTGTTCGCCTCCCGCTCCCCCTACCTAGCGGCAACGGGAGGGCTGACCAGGGAAGAGATAGAGAGAGAGACAGGGATGAAAAGGAACTGTGGCGACATAGTCCACTCTCCCCTCCGCTATGTACCCTTCCCTCCCCATTCGTCCCCCCTTGCGCCCCCAACCTTGCATGGCTACAATGAAATACAGTCGGACCTAGGCCAGAAGAAAACCCTTCAAGAACATGAGACCCTGCGCCGGCCAAATTGAATAACATTCGAGGGCACCCTCATCCAGGATACATAAAAACACCCAACAAACACAAAAAACATTAAGGTGCCCTCCCCGAACCGACTGCAGCTTGTCACGTTACGCACTCTTGCGCCCCCCCTGCCTCCGTCCTGAGCGCGTCTACCAGCGATGGGGCTAGCTGTCGACTGTACAGCCCAAAGACGGCGCGAATTCCTCGCGGGCGTGCAGTGCCGCTTTCGCGACCACGCACGACATTTCATTGGCCTTGCCTACGCCTGGTGAGACATGACGAGGGGAAGCACGTGAATCACCCTCGTTCCCTGCGAGAACGGCGCCGTGCACCGCACCATGTCTGGACTCTAGTCCTGATGAGATCGGCTCTGGGGGCTCAAAACTATGCACGGTGCCTCCTGATTCAAGGATCGATGGCCCCACGGGAGTCCGACGCGGTACGGCGCACACAGGTCGTCCAGGAATTCTCCTCCTCGGTCCTCACCATCCTTCCCCTCCTCGCGCCCACGCTTAGTGAAAAGTGAGGTGGAGGAGGGGGAGTCTGCGTATGCTAATGGTGCGCGGGTCCTTAAAGGGTGTGCTGTCTATCGCTATGGCCTGCACTTTGTCGTGTGCAACTTGTGGGGATCGAACGATGGAACACACTAACCAAACGCAACTGATCGGCGCAATCTCGTGGACAGCCGGGACCCTGAAGTCCTTGGGAGCGTTGGCGATAATGTTGGCCAGCTTGAGGGAATGACCGGACCGGCATCAATCGAAACCAAGGCTGGCAAAAGAGAGGGTGGTGGTGTTCTTGCCGTCGCTCGGACGTCCATTTCCCGTGCATTTTTCGGCTTCGTGCGTGTTCTTTTTGCTCGATGGTCCAGGATGGTCCTCGATGGTTCTCGCCGAGAAAAAATGCACACGTCCGAGCGATGCCAAGCGTGTGTTCCTGCACCCTGGTTCAACCACCAACGCCCCACCGTTTCAGAAATTCGACCTCCCCCCTCGGCTGCCCGCAAGACACACCCCAGACGGCGCCGTCTGGGGGCGCGAATTTTGCACACAATCCCACAGACAAGCCGGTCGGACACAAGACCGCGGAGCGGAGGTCGTCTACAAAAACGGCATCCCCTGGGGACACGATGTTTGAACAGCACCCTGCAAACAAGCTGGTCCAGCAAAAGGTACGCGTGCAGGGGCGGTGGCCTGCACTCGGCCCCCAACCGTCGGCGTGGAGAGCATCGGGCTCCACATCGAGCCGCATCGCCGATGCTTCGTCGATGCGGCACGATCCTCCGACCCCATCTAAGAGGCCTAAAAACAGTGAGGGCAGTGCATAAGGAACCATTCGCGTGGAATCCAAGCTCTGGAAGCCAAACCAGCTCCAACCGAACCACGCGCCAAAGCGGGCCTTGCGCGAGAGGACGCAGCGGCCTCACGCGGCGGCTTGCGCGGGCCGCCCCCGCGGCACGCTCGACTGGCAACGAGGGCGCCCACACGCAGCCTGACGCGGGCAGCTTACGCGCCAATGTCTTTGTCCCCACATGCTTCGTGGGGTTTGGGTTTTCTTCCCACCCGCGCCGCACCCGCGTCTCACCCACACCCGCCCTCCTCCCCTCCTCCGCCTCCTACCCCTCCTCCTCACGCACACAGCGCAGCGCAGCGCAGCGCAGCGCAGCGCAGCACAGCACAGCACACCACAGCGCACACAGCACAGCACAGCACAGCACAGCACAGCACAGCACAGCACAGCACAGCACAGCACAGCACAGCACAGCACAGCACAGCACACACACACACACACGGCTTGGCACGTGCGGCACATTCTCGACGCCATAGGGGTCGTCCACGGCACAGCAGGCGTGGCAGTTTTGCACAGCACACCTGCACAGCACATCGCAGCAAAGCACAGTACAGCACACCGCAGCACAGCACGGTACGGCACAGCACAGCACATCGCAGCACAGCTCAGCACAGCATAGCACACAGGGCAGGCGCGCAGGGCACGGCACGGCAGAGCGTGGCAGGGGTGGCACTTTCTCGACACCACAGGGGGTGCGCAGGGGGTGGTCCTTCAGCTCGGCCGCTATGCACGACGGCTGTCCAGGCACAACAGGCGTGGCACTTTCTCGACACCACAGGGGGTGCGCAGGGCGTGGTCCCTGAGCTCGGCCGCTATGCACGACGGTCGTCCAGGCACAGCAGGCGTGGCACTTTATCGACACCATAAGGGGGTGCGCAGGGGGTGGTCCCTGAGCTCGGCCGCTATGCGCGACGGCTGTCCAGGCACAGCAGGCGTGGCACTTTCTCGACACCACAGGGGGTGCGCAGGGGGTGGTCCCTGAGCTCGGCCGCTATGCACGACGGCTCCAGGCACAGCAGGCGTGGCACTTTCTCGACACCACAGGGGGTGCGCAGGGGGTGGTCCCTGAGCTCGGCCGCTATGCACGGTCGTCCAGGCACAGCAGGCGTGGCACTTTCTCGACACCATGGGGGTGCGCAGGGGGTGGTCCCTGAGCGCGGCCGCTATGCACGACGGTCGTCCAGGCACAGCAGGCGTGGCAATTTCTCGACACCAGAGGGGATGCGCAGGGGGTGGTCCCTGAGCTCGGCCGCTATGCACGACGGTCGCCCAGGCACAGCAGGCGTGATTGGCACTTTCTCGACACCAAAAGGGGGTGCGCAGGGGGTGGTCCCTGAGCTCGGCCGCTATGCACGACGGTCGTCCAGGCACAGCAGGCGTGGCACTTTATCGACACCATAAGGGGGTGCGCAGAGAGTGGTCCCTGAGCTCGCCGCTATGCACGACGGTCGTCCAGACATAGCAGGCGTGGCACTTTCTCGACACCATAGGGGGTGCGCAGGGGGTGGTCCCTGAGCTCGGCCGCTACGCACGACGGTCGTCCAGGCACAGCCGGCGTGGCACTTTCTCGACACCACAGAGGGTGCGCAGGGGGTGGTCCCTGAGCTCGGTCGATATGCGCGACGGTCGTCCAGGCACAGCAGGCGTGGCACTTCCCCGACACCATAAGGGGGTGTGCAGGCGGTTGTCCCTGAGCTCGCCGCTATGAACGACGGTCGTCCAAACACAGCAGGCGTGGCACTTTCTCGACACCACGGGGGGTGCGCAGGGGGTGGTCCCTGACCTCGGTCGATATGCACGACGGTCGTCCAGGCACAGCAGGCATGGCACTTTCCCGACACCACAGGGGGTGCGCAGGGGGTGGT